TCTCTCTCTCTCTCTCTCTCTCTCTCTCTCTCTCTCTCTCTCTCTCTCTCTCTCTCTCTCTTTTCCCGAAGGCTGATGAATGTTTTGTTTCCGTTGTTTGCAGGTGGAGACCCAAATCATCGGAGGATGTCATCGATGGCAGCGACCAATCAACACTCTTCTTTACATGATTCTCACTCGTCGGAAGTCGTGCGCCAGGACAGAACGTACGAATCATGTGCACCGGCAGCTGCTTGGAAGGAACAACTGTCAGCAGGTTGCTGACATGATTCTGACGTGTCAGAGATACTGCATGTTTTTTTCACTTGCTTGATGTATTCAGTACTGTACGTTAGCGCCTGCTTGGAAGGATCAGGACCTGAATGTCAGGGCGGATCGCATAACGAGGAGCAACTGTCAGCTGCTGAAAGCGGGTGGGACATTATTTTTGTAACTTGTTTCTAAATTCCTCAGAAGGGGCTCCGGTCCATATCTCATCTGTGCGAACGTATTGACTGAGAAGCTCTGCAGGTTGGTCACAACATGTGCAATCCGCCGCATGTCATGGTGAAGCATAGCACCGAGTTACGGGCTGTTGTCGGGGGGTTCGCCTGTGTGGCTGTTGCCACACTTGCCTGTGTGTCATTTCTTGTGACCAGACAGTCCTCATAGCATTATTATGCTCATGCTTCAAGCTAGCAAGGTGTCAATTGAAAGGTTGCTTGCCAGCAGCAGAGGGCATCTAGAGTTTGTGTACGCTGTACAGTGTGTAGTTAGGACACCGCAACACTCTTCCAAACAGTGTGGTAGGTGGCGCAATGTTCTTGCAGATGTATTTGGGGCAATTTTCAGGCTACGTGCAGCAATAAGCACTGTACATTCTTTTCCGGAACTCTAAAGAAACATGCTGTTTTGAACAATGTGGTGGGAAAATGACTGAGTCATGAAAGACGGGACGGTGGTAACACTGTAAGCAGTGTAAAGGTGTCGAAAACTTCAGGGGTGCCCTCGAGGGTGGCACGTACTAGAAGAGGTGAGGCTTTGTGCGGCGAATTGCCGACAATTCAAGTCAATGGATGATGTCAGGAGGAGGGGAGGTGGCCTCTCTTGAGGAGTGTTTCCCGGATTATGGGGTGCAGTTATGCAGCCTGCAGCACGCCATCTGTTGCATGGGCGTTTCACACAGTTCCGGTGCTATGTTATCCCCATTTCACTGCAGTGCCGCGCGCCAATGGAAGGCTCTGTCCTGTGCACCGGCATCATGGCACCTGTGGTCATGGTTGGCTTATTTCGGGATCTGCACGATCCACTAGCAGAGGGATTTCTGCGCCACGGACCATCTTCTAAAGCAGCACCGTTGGAAACCATAGCAGCATCGTTGGAAACCATCATCTCCCGGAGAGACTGCGATTTGTCACCGTCGGGTGTTCCTTCTCACCTCATCATCCCTCGAATGCCATCGTCCAGGACTCCAGGTGGCACATCTAGATGTTCCGCCGGATGGGAGACTACGTCGTTACGGATCATGACATTGCAAATATGCTTCTGACCAACGAGCAGAGTCAAGGACAGCTCCTTCTCACCCCATCATTCACTCGGCGAACTGTTCAAATCTCAGGATTCTTTAGTGGGGCAGAGGGCTCGTAGTATTACCACACACCGCGAATGACATCATCCAGGTGGCACATCTAGATGTTGAGACAGATGCGAGAGTACCATGGTTACAGCTCATCGCATTACAAAGATGCTTTTGACTCATAAGCATTGTCAAGGAAAGCTGACGCAGGGGGGACGGGGGACGGGGGACGGGGGACGGGGCGTGGGGGGACAGGGGGGCGGGCGGGGGGGTTGAGGATGGTGATGGTGGCACAAGAAGGATGGACGGGTCATAACGCTAGGCAGCACGGAGGAATGGCGGGGGAGTTCAGTGGGGCCCGTAGTGGACTTTCTGGTGAACCATGCGCCTAGAATTGAAAGGGGTCCTGATCACCTTTTGGGCCCATCAATTACCACGACGGAAATCGCTATCTTGCCTGACTGGACCGCGAGACCGGGTTGCTTCCCCCGACTGCCTGCTGCCTTCTGGAAGAGATGTATCGTGTACACATACATGTAAAGGATGTAAGGGCAAGAGGCAGACGCAAAAAAAGAGAGCGCGAAAAATTCTACATCGTATGCATGGCATTCCTCATGTCTAGTGTAGTAGCGGAAATCCAACATCATATGGATGATGTTCCACATGTGAAGTTTATTTTCTCTCTCTTCCATAGTGGCTGTCATCACTCGTGGAGGATTCACGCTTCTGGCATTGACAAAATGGTCGAACTAGTAAAGTTGTGAGTGAATCTAGCTGTCATTGCAGTTGGATGCATCGGCAAATTGCTAAAGCTAGATTCACACTTCTGTCGTTCGACACAGGCATCGGCTCAGTACAGTTTGTCTAGTAATCCCTGCACGGGCATCGGCTTAGGATAGTTTTTCTGATCATCCACTGTGCTGTGTTTCTCCAGCAACTCTTGAGTGGTTGGTAGTTTAGCAAAGTAAATGTGGCTAGCAATTTCTACCAGCAAAATCTGCAGCCCACTGTCAACTAAATGTGGCGAAATCTTCTATGCGATAATCCTCTCCGCAGCGATCTTCTCCGGGGCAATCTTCTTCGCAGCAAGCTTCTTCATCATGATTTCAAACTTGGACTTTCTCAATTGAATCTGACTGCGACTGCGATTGCAGTGCGGCGCATCGAGGAAAGGACATATGTGGCTGCGATTGACAATGCAATATTCTATGCAACAATCTTCTGCACAGCTTGGATATTCTCGATTGAATCTGACCGCGACTGCAGTGCGGTGCATCGAGGAAAGTACATATGTGGCTGCAATTCACAATGCAATCTTCTATGCAAAGCATGGATATTCTCGACCGAATCTGACCGCGATTGCAGTGTGGTGAATCGAGGAAAGTACATATGTGGCCGCGAGTGACAATGCAATCTTCTGTGCAACAATCTTCTGCATGACTTGGATTGTCTCGATTGAATCTGACTGCGATTGCAGTGCGGTATATCGAGGAAAGTACATATGTGGCTGCGATTGACCATGCAATATTTTATGCAACAAACTTCTTCGCGGCTTCCCTCCACGGTGCGGTGTGCGTCAAGAAGCGGCTGCCATCTCGTAGCAAAAATAACACTTGATTCCTCTACAACTGATAGCAATGTCCAGCAGTTCGGATATCCGATTCCCGAAACCTGCACATAAAAATCACAGGCCTCGCTCTTTTTGAAACGCCGTCCTGCAGAGACCAGACCAGAAGTTGTTACCCTACAAATTTGTGAAATCTGCTGAGGACAGGAGCATATATGTCAGCCACGAAGACAGGACGCGAATGTATAAACACAAAGTCATGGGGCACATGGTGCCCCCAACGGAGAAAACGACGTGCTGCAGAATCGCAGCACACCATGTCCAGCAGTGTCCTGTGGAATAGTGGTACAAACCCAGAGGTAGAGCATACTCACACCAGGACAGTTGCGAGTGAATCTAGCTGTCGTTGCAGTTGGATGCATTTAGAATAGGGCAAAGTGTGAATGTACAGACCAAAAGTCACAGGGCACATGCATGGGCCCCAACTGAGGTAGAAAACAATGTGCTGTAGAAACACAGCACAGTGTGTCCAACCACGTCCTGTAGAATGGCGCGGTACAATCTAATCCGAGAGTTGGTGGATCTGGCGGTACAAAACCCGAGAATTAGTGGATGGATACTCGAACTATAGAGTTTTCTCAATCAAATCTGGCCACGATGGCTGTGGGATACACTGAGTAAAACAGCGTCCTTTAGAAAGGTGGTACAATGTAACCCGACAGTTAGTGGATATTTGCACTAGGGGGGTTTCTCAACTGAATCTGGCCTCGATCGCAGTCAGGTCCATTGAGGAAAGTACAAGTGCGCGTGCGTTCTTAGAATTGCATACTTATGCCTACTTGTCACAAAGGTCAGGTTCGAACGGTCGAACCGCGTGCATCCTAGCATTACGACGCAGTCCAAACGGCAGGCCACCTGGGCAAAAAAAAAGCCGCCCCACCAGTAAAAAAAGGGAGGGCGACCTAGCGAAAAAAAAAAAAAAAGAAAAAAAAAAAAGAGGGAGGATGTGGTCAGAAAAGGAAAGGCCACTTGGCAAAGAAAAGGTAGGCCACCTGGGGAAGTTCAAAAATGGGTTATAACTTTGGACTTTGAAATTATAATAATAATGCCACCCAGGCCCGTGCCCCGTGCCCACTGGTAAAACTGCGTGCTACGCTACCCTCACCATCCACGTCTTCGAATCTCTTTTCGAATGGGTGGAGGGACCATAGTACCTTTATTTACAGCAGCAGCCTAGCAATAGGCGTGCAGCGCAGGTGCTGGTCTGGTTGTGTACTCGGTCAGCAGACGGAAGGAGCCTAAATGGATAGAATCGAAAGAGCACATTGCATACTTGAGGAGCAGTACGAATCCGTCGGAGATCGGTCGGGTGAGCAGTACGAATCCGTCGGAGATCGGTCGGGTGCGACTAACTAAGCCATCGTTGGCTGCTTAGACATCCGCCGACTTTGTACCCTTTGGAAATACATTAAATTATGCCTGAGGAGGGGAAAGATCTGGCCAGAGCACGCAGACGCGAAGCGATCTATCGTCTATCGCTGGAACAGATCATTTGGCCGAAATCTGGGGGTGTGATGGTTTCGTGAACCTGGTCAAAAAGAGAGAGCAGTCCATGCCATGGTCACACGAACCTGGTTCGTAGGGGAGACCAGCTGTACCTGATGCAAGCATCCTGGTACTTGTTGAACGTGTACGACTCTCACAAAATGGGGTGTACCTGCTGAGTGAGAAACTGTAAAGGTTCAAATCAAATTAGCCCCCAAAGGCCTCGGTGTGCTGCGATTCTGCAGCACGTCGTTGTCTCCGTTGGGGGCACCAAGGGTCTCGTACCGAGAGCATTCCTGCCCAACGGTATTGTTGGTGATTTCAAGAGTGAAAGACCACAAGTGACTCTGCATTTGCATTTGGGGCGTCCCTGATGAGTAATGGTGAGTGAGTAAATGGGTGAAAAATCTCAGAAAAAGGCACAAAGTAGAGCCAGAGAAACCTCTTAGAGGAGTACACAGGGGTTCTGTAGTCTTTATGGGGGTGTGGAGACAAGTTCCGAAGGGCGTGGCTCAGTTTCAAAGTGATCGAATCTGACCGTGATTGCAGTCAGGTACATTGAGGATAGGAAGAAGACTTCTGTGGTCCTAGTTGAATGGTTGTATGGTAATCCTGTAGCCCTGGTTGTATGGGAATCCTGTGGTCCTGGTTGTATGGCAATTCTGTGGCTCTGTTCTTTCTTAGAAACCCTAAAACCAGGAATCATGTGGTTCTGGTTATATGGGAGTCCCGTGGTCCTGGTTTGTTTTAGTAATTCCTGTGGTGCTGGTCTGTTTTAGGAATCCTGTGGTCGTCCTCGTATGGAAATCCTGAGGTCCTGGTTTCTTTCAAGGATGCTGTGGTCCTGGTTGTTTCTACGGAATCCTGTGGTCCTGGTTCGTTCCCGAATCTTGTGGTCCTGGTTGCTTCCCGACCCCTGTGGTCCTGGTTGGTTTCGGACTTCTGTGGAGCTGGTTGGTTTTGGAATTCTGTGGTCATGATTGGTTTGGGGATCCTGTGGTCCTGGTTGCATGGGAGCAACCCCGAGGAACTGCAACGAAGGACTCCGTCCTCACACCAGGTGCAAGTCTGGTAAATCAGAGCCTCCATGGCGCTTGATGTCTGTGTGCTGGAGACAGTGAAAACAGGTGAGGCCTGCTGCCTTTAGCGAAAGTGTACCCCATGCTAACCCGCGAGTTAGAACATACCACCAATACTTCTGTAGAAATAGAAAACCTGAAACCCGATGCAAGCAATCAGTCGAAGGCTGAAAGATGCATCATCAATCAATGGATGATGGATCTGCAAAGGTTAGCGGCGTACCTGACATAGAGACAACTCCCGCCTAGGGGGAATTTAATATTGGATCTTTGGACTTCAAGTTTTTGAAATCGTGGTTTTACATACCACAATAGAATGGTGGCCCCAAGAGTTAGACGGTACCATGGCAGTTAGAAAGAAGAATTTCTGCAGGCAGCAACTGCCACAGAAGAAGAGATAAGGCAGCATCGCTCAGAGACTCGGGACTCAGAGACTTGGGGAATGTGTTTCGGCGGAGAGCATGCACAACCTCAGCGCCTAAGGAGAGGGAAGAAGGCTGTTTTTGAAAACAGCTGGAGATATCAGAAGTGAGAATGCTGACATGAGTAACAAAAAATCAGGTGAAAAACATGATCGCCGAAAGTTCAAGGGTTTCTGCGTTCAGTCAATCTACGCAGAGTGAATCGGTCCCTAACGAAACCCCGAAAGGTGGCGCCGATGGGTACTAGAAAGTGACGAGAGTGGGAAAGTTAGAAGAGAGGGAAGGCGGGAGTGTTAGGAGAGTCTCGGCGGGAATGCTCTCGGTACGAGACCCATGCAAGGAAAATTGAATAATACAGATCTGAAACCACGACATCGGTCTGGAGGGCTCACATTGGTCTATGAAACTAAGTAGTAAGTCTTTTATTGTTTTTGTTGGCTCACATTGGTCTATGAAACTAAGTAGTAAGTCTTTTATTGT